ATATATGTAAATAGTAAAAATATTTAATTTTGCTGACATGGCAAATTAGAAGAGTTAATGAAAATATCTTCCGAAACTGCTTCTTAAATTATCCCATTGTTTGAAAGAAGATCCAAAACATTATATACATTATATCAATATAACATTATATTATATCTGACTGTCCTTCAACCTTACCTAAATATCTGTCAATTCTTGCAGCCTATTGGAGAATCATTGAAATATTGCATCTACAAGTACAGGGAACAATATCCCAGGAAGTAAAGCCTCAGGTTTTATATTACTATAATATGGTATAATATGGTATATGAGCAATGGTGGTGCAGTGGTTAGAATGAAGTACTGCAGCTACTTTTACCAACTGCTGCCTGCAGTTTGGTGGTTCGATTCTCACCGGCCCAAGGTTGACTCAGCCTTCCGTACTTCTGAGATCGGTAAAATGAGGATCCAGATTGTTGGGGGCAATATGCTGACTCTGTAAACCACTTAGAGAGGACTGTGAAGTGGTATATGTCTAAGTGCTATTGCTACTGCAATATATTATAATATAATACTGTAATTACTATAATATAACAGATGTGTTCTATGCTGTAATTCCTGTTGTAATTGGAGAAGAGAGGGATGATATGGGAAGAAACTAAATGGTCTGCATGCCAGTCAAGACAAAGAAAGTTGGGGCCTCTGTGTTATGATGGGTGAAGCTGCCTACTAAAACACAGAGAAAACTTTGCTGAAAGACTTTCATTTGCTTTATTCCCTTTTTATGATTCTTGAGATACTTTTGATAGCAAAACAATGGTTTTCACAAGTTCTATTAATATTCTTAACCAGATCTCAGTCCTAGAGTGAATACTTACAGAGTCGTAGGACTTTCCTGAATGATCATGGAGATCAACACACAATTTTGTAATTATAGTTTAGATAAAGAACTCAGCAAAGAACAGTATTTGGGTACCTGGATCATAGCCTGAAAATCCTTGGCAATCAGTTGAATCTAGAACTTTTCGTGTTGGAACTAATGGATAGATAATTAGTAAAAAATAAAAACAGATTACTGCTCCAAGATTATTATATGCACAAAAATGGAAAGACTCTAAAATATTCACAATGCAGGAATGGCTGGTGAGGATGGCAGAATTATCAGAGATCAAGAAATTGATTTGTCTGACTAGGGAAAGGACAATAACTATATTTATTTGTGACTGGAAACCACTTGTGGACTTTTTGCTGAAACAAGAAAAAATGAAATTGTATTTATGGATTTGATGATTGGAAAGGGTAGACTATAGAAAGAAGCAAATTCTATTATAATCATAGAGAGAGGGTATAAAGGGGGAGGGTACTTGTAATGGCGGTTAAGAAAATCTTTATAACTTTCCTTTGTCTTCTCTATTTCTTTCTTTGCACTTTTTCACTTAATTACTACTTTTTCTTATTTTCCTTTTTCTTTCTCAAAAATCTGAACTTTTTATTATTTTAAAATTCCTTTAGTAAAAAAAATGATATATATATTATATTATATAATCATTTATGTCATCTTTCCCAATCTCTTCCTAACCCAGGAAGAAAGTTAAAGAAAAATTAAATTTTTAAAATTACAATTCATAAATGATTTACTCACGTAAACATGATCTGTTTACACATGTCAGTTTATAATATTGGGTTTAGTATGTAGGATTGCTCTGAAATTATCTTCACAACATCTCTTTGAGGTGAAGATAATGTTATTCACCCAACTTCTATCTTCATCCAACAGTTTAATCATTATACTAAATGAACAATGTGGGACAAAAGAAACGTTGATCTCTGAAGATTTTATCAGAAAGTAATCCTGCTGTATTTTTTAAAATAGATGTTGGGCTATAACTCAACACATTCCTATGTTTTTATCATGTTGACCAGAATTGACAGGACCTGGATTCAACAACATTTGGTGGACCACATCTTCCCCAGCCTAGTCTTTTCCAATTATTTTTCCAAGATTGGGAAAAGATTAAAGAATCCTGGTAATTGTAAGGATTGTATACAAGTAGTATTAGTATTATTGGAGGGGTGAGGGGTGCTCTATTAGCATTGATCCTTCTAATCTCTGGATAACTGTGTCAGCACATAACTATGTTTCCTTAGAAATAGGGTCTGTGGGCCTAATTTAGTAGGACATGTGTATATGTGCATGTCTGCATTCTGCTAAGTACACAGCAGAACCTACCTACAGAAATGCAGCAAAATGAGTCCCACAAAGCGAAACAAACGAAGCGCTGTTCTAAAAAAAACCTGTTGAACCTGCATCCTTGAAGCAAACACATTTAAATCTGACTTCCAAAACTCCACACAGGGTTTGGCTGAATACTATGCGAAATTGCCTTTGAATATTCCAACTCATGAGGTATGCTTTATTTGGCAATACTCATCAGCAGCATTTGTTTGTTTGTTTGTCCAAAAGGGCATTGTTTCAACAATTATGCCTCTGCCTTCTGCTATGCTCCCAGATGCTGAGGGATTCCTCAGTTGATTATTCAATACCTATTGATGTTTTCTGTAAAATGGGGGGGGGAGTGTCTGAGGGATTTATCTGGAAGGAATGGGGAATTCCTTGCTCTGCTCAAGATATCCAGAAGTGTTTTACTGCTCTCAATTTTCTTCTTCAAGGGGTTGTATATCTTCCACCAAAGGGCAGAGGGAGGGACATGACAATGGATCGACTCCAGCTGGAATCCGAAAGCTTAGAAGACTAAAACTCTGGTCCTGGTGACCGACTCAGATTGGATCCTACAACATTATCCTGGGACACTTATATTTGCCTTCGTTTGTGGACATGACAATGTACAGAATTATAGCCATATTATCTTCATTGAAACAAAGGATCAGCATAGATTTGAATAAAATATATTTTAAAATAGCAGAAGCATTCCAAATAAGGCCAGGTCCTGCCCGTTCCCTTACAGATTTGGGGGGAAAGTCCTAAGTACAATCCCAATGCAAGTAGCATAGCAATGCCCATTCCCCACAGCCCAAGAGTAGTCAGCTACGTTTACTGTTACCATCTCCAAAATAATTTTGAGAGAGTTGCAGATTCAGAGGTGATGGTTCCAAGAATCAAAAACATGTTGGTGCCTTCCAAGTGACTCTCAATTTTTCCTTAATTTGAAGCCCTACAATGAAAGTTTTTTTAGGACTGCCACATAAGCCACAGATCAGCCATGAGGTGCCTGCACTCACCATGGTATGTGACCCCTGCGCCCAACACACACAGTCCATGGGATCCCTAAACCAAATAAAAATTAGTTTTAATCTTAAAATAAAAAGCCAAAATATAGAATGTCAAAATCTCAGGCGATTGTCAGCAATAACAAGCTTTCACAAGCTTTTGTAATCTCACTAGGTTTGAGCTGTGTGTATATGTTCATGTGTACTCCTTACAGCCCATCCTGGAAGACCTTTGTCCTCCACAGATTGGGAACCATTGGTGGTTCCACAATCCCTTGCCACCATTCATTTTGCCTCAGGTTGATGCCAATTATAGCTGGATACATTTAGTGGGCATCAGATGCCTACAAGTAATCAAGATAAATCAAAGTCCATAAGATATATCCATTCCATTGTCTGTTTCTGGCAGAAGGTTGTTTTGGAATGATTACATCAAGCCCATTTTGAAGATCATTTTGAAAGGGCAGTATCCTGTTTTCTCTGCTAAAGAGCCTTCTATCAAGCAGGAAAGGTAATAAAACAGAGACTAAAATGAGAAACATTGAACTATTGACTTTAGCAAATCTAAGATTAAGATAGGAATAAAAGCTTCGCACACAGAAGGTAATGCACAGAAGGCTTCATTATGAAGCTAAATAGCCATCACTCCAATCTATTGTTGAAGCTTTTCTTTATGCAAAACAAACAAAATTTAAAAATCCATAAAATAATCTTCAGAGCAGAGAGTACTTTGCTGTATGCATAAATATAGGTTTTCCCAACTGTCCCAAAATGTCTCAAGTCTGTGCCGATTTTTTTTCAGCATTCCTTTTCCTGTTCACCAGGAACGGAATGGGAATAGGTTGTTTGTTTGTTTATTAAAAAGTGCTTTTGTAAAGGATGCTTTTTGGCTCAATCGTTGATTGGAGAATGGAAAGTATCTCAAATGCTGCTTTTTATACATCTCTGCTGCTGCGGTCCAACGCTTAATTCTTTGTGCAACTATCATCTTTGTACAAACCTTTTAACGCAAGAGGTTAAAGTGGCTGCACATATGGAACAATCCTCTTTCAACTCCACTTTAACTCATTTTAAAACATGCTCATAAAGTAATTTAGTTTTTCCTCTATTTGGGATATCTCTCCATGAATGTGAAGCTTAAAAGCTAGACTGGCAACAACAATCTGGTAGCCTAAGAGTGCAAACTAGAGAAGGAGATTAAAGGTAGACTGTGGATGAGCAGTGTCTTTATGCAGATTTCCCTTCCTGCTGGATAATTAATTGCATATGGCTCCTTCCACTAGGGGGCACTGTGGGCAGGCAGGAAGACAGCCTTTGGATGTAAAGATGGGCAAACTAGCAAGCGGGTTTCAAGCTGAAGGACAAGGATGAAGCAAACCAAGGCGCAGAAGTAAACAATGTTCTGGCCAGTTGATCAGAAAAATCACAGGAGGCAGGGGCAAGGGGAGGGGGAATACATACTTTGTTGTCTGAGTTTTGTCTCACACCTCCTTTTAATTCCTTATTCATTAGGTTCCTATACGTTTTATGGCCAGATCCCAAACTCATCAGAATTATAGCTCTTTTGAGAGACAGGTTATTCCACTATAGTTGATTTTTATCCAACTTAAAATGTACTATTTTTTCTCAAAATTCTGGGATCTTGAAAATGTCAAAACTGCCCACTTTGGGATTTAGCAATCTGAACAACAGCCCTCCCCCCCCTGCCCAGCTACCGATAGTGCATAATGCTGTGCTTCCTCAACCTTTCCAGCATGAAGGCCATGAAATCCAAAAAAACCCCCAAAAACAAAAATCAGAAGTCTTTGATCTTCTACTAGTAGCATGAGACTCAGTTCCAGCCTGAGTCTGGCTGGACTAAACAGAGAGACTAAAATCAGTGCCATTCAATCCATTCCTAGTAACTGGACATCCGTATTTCCAACGTATCCCAATGCGTTCTCCAAACACCGAAGGGTTAGGCCATTTCCAAGTGCCATTTTGTCTTCCAGATTTGCATTCAGGGAAGTAGAGCAACTACAGCATGTCTTAGCTTCATGGATCAAGCAGGGGGCCTGGATGATCCAAAGTCATTTGGGAACTCCGTCAGAGCCACCAGGAGAGAGGTGGGCATGCTCTTATCATTCCAGGAATTTGTGAATGTCCCCGTTCAGCTGATACTGGGGGCCCATGGCAGTTTCACTCAGCGGCGGGCAGTGAGTTGCTCCACACTGGCAAGTATGGATCATCATGACCTTCTTGGTAAAAGTGCTCCCATCAGGACAACGGAAGGGTACATTTAGCGTACGAGTACGCAGGGGTACACAGCAGCGGCCATCCAGGCAGGCCCCACAGAAGCTTGGCTGGTAACGGCGTGGGCTCTTGCAACCAGCATGACTGAATCTCACTGGCTCTTGCACTTTGTGCGTCCTCAGACATTTCTTGCCTTTCTAAAAAAAAAAAAGGGGGGGGGAGGAAAGCATTTAACGCTACACCTCTAGACCTCTTTCAGGCCCAGACCGCTATGAATTATTACAGCTTTCCTCAGTGTAGTGCATTGCAGCAACCTATCCAAAACATCTTGCAAACACGGACAGTAGAACACTGGATATATTGTCCCAAATATCCCTGGAGAAGATCAAGCTACAGAACATTTAATTAGGGTGCCTGAAATGAGAGCCACAGATCAGCATCAGTTAAAGAATGCTGACTTCTATTATGAGATACCCCATTCCTTACCCAGAATCTCTTCAATACCTGGCTGCGGGAAACTCTTATTTTTTTTATTAATATATACATTCCCATTCTGATTTCCAGAAACTGGGTTATATAATTTCCCCGTTTTGATTGCAACTCTTGTCAGCTCCACACAGCCTATGGCGAGGTTCAATGGGGAAGGCTGTTACCACATCTTTTCTTTGGGTTCTGCCATCTCACCTTTAGCTTTGAAAAATCAGGCTGCTCACAGGGCCTGACCTGACACAATCGGGTTTCTTTGATCAGCTTGCATTGGGGATTATTGCTGTTGATGCGGGTAGAGATGCCAAAACCGCAACTCTTAGAGCACGGGGACCAGCGTGTGGTCTGGGACAAGCATTTGCGCTCTTGCTTTGTATCCTGATCCTGGAAGAATGGTCTCCATCCTGAGGAAAGAGATGGAAAATCTCATTACTTGACTATCATAGAGACCCCAAGAGAGACATGAGCAAAAAAACCCCCAAAACATCCCAGCAACTGGGATGACTATGAACAACAAGATGCTGTTAATGGACCAGTAATGGGAAGCCATTAGTGTACTGCTAGTGAGTAGCTCATGGCTGGGCACTTTCAGAAACTGAGCAATTATTTAGATCAGGGGTAGGCAACCTTGGCTCTTTTATGACTGGTGGACTTCAACTCCCAGAATTCCTGAGCCAGCCACGCTGAGGGGAAAGGGAGAGGTTTCCAAGCTGAGCCATGCTGGCTCAGGAATTCTGGGAGTTGAAGTCCACCAGTCATAAAAGAGCCAAGGTTGCCTACCCCTGGGCTAGATGCTCAGATTTGTCCAGCAAAGTTCCTCTTATGCTGAGAAGAGCCTCGGTGGCAGTTCTGCTGCTCCACATGGGCATTTCATGAAGCAGTCAAAGCAAACCAGGCATCAGAAGGATATATATAGGACAGATGCTTATAGCGCAGAAAACTGAAGAAAGAGGAAGAAAGGGAACAAATTTGAGTTCTGGGGTTTAGGTACCAACTTTTCAGTTTTTAAAACTTTGGTGACTGAGCAATGTATTAGATCAGTGGGGCCCACCTGATATCTGCAGAACGGGCTTTCCTCTTCCCCATCCCTGTAAGGCAGTGTTTCTCAACCTTGACAATTTTAAGGCACGTGCCTTAAAATTGTCAAGGTTGAGAAACACTGCTGTAAGGTTAAGAATGTCTGGGGACGTTCCTTGCTTCTATTTTTCATGGAAAATTAAACAAGAGTCAGGGGAGACTCTTACAGCCATGTGTTTTTTTCCCTGCTGTTCTTGTGCTGGGAAGAAGCTACATTGACATAAATTGTGTTGCTCCCCCCCCCAACTATCTTCACCGTGACTCAGCAACATGAATGGGGAGTGATGCTGTTGCCCTCGTGCAACTTTTAACACAAAGTAGTTTCAGGACAGTGACTGGTGGATATCTTGCTGGTTTTTCCAGAAGGAAATCCAACCACCTCTCCTGAACATGTGCAGAGTGAACTGATAAATCAACATCTCATTTTTATCATTTGCTTCTGACAAACATATCAACCTCCCAGGAAATCCACAGTCCTCTATAAAGCCTGTGATGATCCAAAAAACCCACTAGATGGCAGCATCTATTAAACCATTCTAGAGGGGTAATTAAAAATACATTCAAGGGTACATCAAAGGATCTCTGCTTCCCCATCCAAAAGGTGGGGAGGAGCTCATTGGAAATGCACAAATGCCTGAACCAGAAAAGAACTTGATGCTATTGTGCCTTTAAATCATTTGCCTCTAGATCTTTTTCTTTTTCCCCTCTGAAGCTCATTTCCTCATTTCTGATCAAGTAAAGCAGGGGTAGGCAACCTTGGCTCTTTTATGACTTGTGGACTTCAACTCCCAGAATTCCTGAGTCAGCTGTGCTGGCTCAGGAATTCTGGGAGTTGAAGTCCATGAATCATAATAGAGCCAAGGTTGACTACCCCTGAAGTAAAGTATCTTTTCTCCCTCCCATTTTCTCCCTCCCATCTTTTCTCCCTCCCATGCCCCATGAGGGCATGTGTGCCTCTTAGGCGTCTTCTGATTTATATATTTATTTACAATCTTCCCAATACATACACACCCTGTACACTCATATCAGATAGCAAGAATCCTGGTTGAAGATCTATCGGTCTCCTGGGAGTTTGATATTGTAAAGATAGAAAGACCAGGTTGCAGCCAAAAGCAAAATACTCCTGGAGGCCCAGTGCCCAACAATTGATGGCGAGAGGTGTTCCTATGGCTGACCTGCTGAGCCAACGGGAGTTGAGCAGACAATGTCCCTGACCGTGCCATCCCCAGGCATGTCTGCATTTTATGTTAAGAAAGGAAAAAAACTGGAACAACTAAAAATGGGTCTGGGCTGTCTCAGCAGTGGGCTGCAGATGAGAAGAAAGTAATGGTGTTAGGATACGCCCCACCAAAACAATCACCTATCTTTGGGCTTTAGCCAGCAGGATGTGAGAATTAACCCACAGAATTATCTTGCAATCCCTGAGTTCTTGAGAAAGTGACACTCTGGAAATCAGGTGGGGGGAAAAAAAACCTCATCTGGATGCAGTGCTTTCTGACCCCACCCTCACCACCCACAGTCATGTTTAGTAGAAATAGCAGCTGGAAACCAAAGCAAAATGCAAATAAAGAATCACATTTCATGACCTCAAGGAGCATCAGATTTAGATCGCAAAAGGGCAACAGGGTACTGCCATTTTTACCCCTATTTTTGTTTAGTGTTCCCATCCTACTTAGGATCACCTCCCCAAAACAGGGTCAGCTTTTTATCTCTTGTTGCTGAAACAAAACTATTTTTAAGCTCAGCTGATGTCCTATGCACATCTTGTTGCTTGTACTGTATGTACACTGAGAGCTTATGCACCGGAGACAAATTCCTTGTGTGTCCAATCACACTTGGCCAATAAAAAATTCTACTTTATTCTATCTTCTGAAAGCACAAGCTATTGAGAGTGCACAGACTGCATATAGGCAGTAAAAACAGAGAGATTGCAAAACTCAGCCTGAGCCAGAAAATTTAACAGACAACAAATTTAGGAGGCTGCCTTGGCCATTGAATTCGTATTCAGTCACATTTAGATTATATTGCTTCGGATTTCCATGTATTGCTCCTCTAAACCTAATCTGAATAAGACCTAGTGTAGGCATGCAAAGTCATATTTCCATTATATATTATAAATGAGGTATCCCTATAAACTACTTCAAGAACAATAGGTTTGTCCTGAAGCAGTAGCACCACGCAGAGAGCCTATGACATTCCAGCCTTAAAAAAGATGATTAGTGGATATTCTGGTTAGATAATCTGTAGCAGTTGTTCCTTCAAAAGAAATACTCCTGACAGATGCAACTCTGTGGCCTTATAGCTACCCCTCTCTAGATCTTTGGAGCAATTTCCCTATGATTTCTTCTCAACTTTACCAAGATGAATATTTCTTTCAGTTGAATAACCCTAATCCTAACCCTAACCCTAGCTGAAAACACCCACTAACTCTGGTGGGGCTTGAGTAACTCAACTTTGCTGACTTTCTGTCTTCTGCCCACTTACCTGGCAGGTTTTTCCAGTGTCCGCCTTTGCCCACATAGATGATTTCATTGCTACTGGCCTCTCCTTTTGAGTTGTACTCAAAAGTGATACCTTCATACTTCTTGGATCCTTTGCTGCACACAAATTTCTTGCAGCATTGACCAGGCAGTTTAATGAGCCGGGGATTGGGACAGCCTAGTGAAGTCAGAGGCAGTTCCAGTGGGCAAAGAGGTTGGCAACCCACCGCTCCATCAATGCACGTGCATTGATGTTTGCAACTAGGCTGAAAGTTCTCTCCGTTTTGGTAGATACGGCCATTGTATTCGCAGGTCCGACCTTCTTGCTTTGCTGAGGAAGGGAAGAAAAAAAGATGTTCCACTTTAGCAGTTGTGTGTTTAAAGGCGTAATCATATATAACGTACATATCTATAAGAGGGGATCCTGTTAGAAGCTGCAAATTGCATGAGCTACTAAGATGCTGTGTTGGAGCAAGCTATCACTAATCATGCCACCGAAGATCCTTTTTCTTTCCCCAAACCAGGTAATTTCTTATTAATCTATTTTCAAACGAACATACATAACATCCTTTGAAATAGCTGCAGAAAGAAGTCTTAAATCACTCGGAACTTCAGCACAAAAATTTCTCAACCTACATCTAATTAGGATTTCACCTCCATAGTCCCCGGGGAGCACAGTTCACACAACAGACCTGAAAAATAACCAGGAGGTATCGAGAAGACATCATGGTCACATCCCACTGGTCTGCTCTAATATACAACCTCAATTATTGAAGCTGGGAGTGGTACCCGAAACCTCAAGAGTTAGATTATGCAGAAGTGATGAACACAGCAAGTCATTGGCTATCACCATTAAAAGTCAGAGGAAGATATTTATTTGCAGGACTGGGTTTTTAGGGGCCATGTCAACAAGAGGCGAGTGTTCTGAGCTTTAAATAGACATGTGAAAACAGGATGTGAAAAGCGCACACACGGCCTGGGATCAGGTTGCAGTGGCTCGGGATAGGGCTGGAAGGACTTTGGCTGGAGGGTCTGGGGAGAAGAATTCTAGCATAAAAGGATGTGGTCTTCCCCTTCTTGCTCTGCAACAAATTGTCTTCTTTTTACTTGTTCTGCATGTGCTTATAGGCTTTCTTTTATTTCCTGTCTATTTTTTCCACTGGGTGTATGAAGCTATGACTAGATCAGGGGTAGGCAACCTTGGCTCTTTTATGACTCATGGACTTCAACTCCCAGAATTCCTGAGCCAAGGAATTGCCTACCCCTGGACTAGATCATCTGGAAGTCACAGTTTTTAAAGCAAGTCTGCTCATGTATGTACATCCTAGAAGTCTTACCTATGGAAATAAAAAAAGGTCATCTGCTCTGCTTGCTAAGAAGCAAACCTCCTTCAGTTATGCAGTCTGGTTTTCTGCCTGCATTCTTTCTACTTTCACTTCTGCATAGCTACTAATTAAAAATGTCTCTTTTCTCAAATTTATATCACTGCCCCAATCTCTTTGTACACTACTCTACTGTTGAGCACAGAAGTTACTAGGTACCTACAGAGTGATCTTATTTGCCAGTAATCTAGAGGAAGCTGGGATAAGACACAGTATTTTGAAAACTTATTGTTAGGTCCAAGCCCAGAGACAAGACGCTGATATCTAATCAAGTCCAATTCTTTATTTGCTTGCACCTAATGGACAGAATCTTGCCAAACTAAAGCTGTAACTTTCTAACCTAATAGATGTACCCTGAGAGATTTTTGCTACTCCCACTGCTCCTCCAGGTGCACATTCCATCACACTTAGACAAGTTGTCTTCATTAGCTCTGAATGATCTCCCTATTTCCAATAACACACCAAATATCTCTAAAAAAATATCCTTGGGCATGGAGATCAGTCCAGCTCAGATTTATATGCCAAACAGCCTGGACAAACAAAACTGCCTTCTGTTAAACCATTGGTCCACCCAGTCAAAACTGTCTACACACACATTGATGAATAGCTATGCTTTAAGCCTCCCACCAGTCGTCCGGCGTATTTGGAGATATTACCTCCCGTGACCTTTGGCTTGCCACAAAACAATGGATGAAGGCCTCTTTCTAAGACAGGTGGATTTGGAAGCATTCCCTGCTACCCAAATACAATGCGGCTGTCTTGTGAAACGGAGGGTAACTAATCTGTTGTTCGCCACATCAAGCACTTCTCAGTGCTTAATCATCTAGAAACTTCACTGGGCTGAACACTGTATTATGAGCCAGAATCATGTAAAACTTCACTGCAAATTCTTAATTATTAACACGGGGTTTCCCTAACAGGACACACATGCAGAAATCCCATTATATGAGCTTACAGAATTGTTTTAAAAAACGACTTTTTTAAAAAAAAAAAAATTGCTAAAAAATAACCCACTGATACTTCTCTCCAGTTTCAGCGTAGATTTTTAGAAATACAACCCCAGCCTGGAAGCCCAACCTTCCGTCATCCAGAGGGCAACTTCCAGATCCCTCTTCCAGCCTGGCCCTGTCCACGATCTCTGGGAATCTCTGTAATCCACCTCATCTGGAAGGCCCAGCTTAGGGACGGCTCCTCCCGCTCCGCTCCTAAGCGTGCCAAGGATATAATAAGACTCGGCGCCTCTTACCCCAACAGATGCCCCGGTTCGCTAAAGGATCGGCCCCAAAATTGCACTCCAGGCCTTTGTGAGGATCGCAGGGCGACAGCTTGTCACAGTCCTCGTTGAGCTGGCGGGCGCACACTTGGCAGCAGCCACAGCCGTCGAAAACCGAGCTGACGCCGGGAGGGCAGCGAAGGGGACGTCTTGCGCAGCGGCATGGGAAAGGGCAGCGGCCGGCGACCTGCAAAAGAGCGAGAGCGGACGGGAAAGGCAGTTCTTTCGGCAGCCCTGCGAGTGAAACCGTCCAGCTAAGCAACTACCAGCAGCCTCCAGTTCAGGTGAAAACTGACACCGAAGCCGTTTTCCTAGATGGCGCTGCGTGCCGCGCCGTCCCGGCATTCTCTCTCCGCCTCCCCCACCCCCCGCCCCAACCGCGCCGAGGTCTCCATCCCGTCGACCTCCGCGGGAATACAATTCTGGAGAGCAATCAAAGCGTCCGCCGCGGAGACAAGCGGAGGCCGTGCGGCCGGCAACTTTGGGAATCGACGGAAGCGGAAAAGGAAACCGCTGCGCACCCTCGACGGGCTGGTGCTATTCCTGATCTCGCCCGGCTTGGATTTAGGCAGGCGGTGAGGTTTAGCCGGGTCCCCTCCTGGGGTGTTACGGAACACCTAGGTCCCCTCCTGGGGTGTTACGGAACACCTAGGTCCCCTCCTGGGGTGTTACGGAACACCTAGGTCCCCTCCTGGGTGTTACGGAACACCTAGGTCCCCTCCTGGGGTGTTACGGAACACCTAGGTCCCCTCCTGGGGTGTTACGGAACACCTAGGTCCCCTCCTGGGGTGTTACGGAACACCTAGGTCCCCTCCTGGGTGTTACGGAACACCTCGGAGGTCAAAAGGTATAGGGCTTCCTGCCTGAGCAGGGGGTTGGACTAGAAGACCTCCAAGGTCCCTTCCAACTCTTACCATTCTGTTATTCTGTCAAGCCGAATTCGGTGGCCAGATGAAGCCGGAACACGAAGGGGAGTGCACCCAACCCGTCCCCTAGTATGATCTGAGTCAGCCAAATCCACCACCCCACTTCGGGAAGGTTAGCGTTGGGGGCTAAGCAAGCTAGAAGCTGCTACTGGGGATTTAGTGAGAATTTGATCCAACCCCCCATATGATTTCTGCTGTTTTGACAGCTAGTCATTGTTTACTGTCGTAGTGACAGTAACGTCGCACACACACACACACACCCAGTTCACTTGTCGAAGTAGAGGGGAAAGGGCTAGTCTAGCTAAGACTACTCACCAGAGAGAAACACAGCAGGAAAGCAAGGAGGGTCAGGGCAGCCGGTCTCATTCCTGTTTGATGAGAAAAGGCGGCCAGGAAGAGGGCGACTGTTGCTGAAGGAGAGAAGCAAAAAGAGCAGGGAGGCAAACTCCCAAAGGATCCGGATGAGACAGAATTGACAGTTGCTGCAAAATTGTCTCCCAGACGCCTTGCCTCTATAAGGTCTCGGGACACTGGCACACCCCCTTTTACGCTACTTTCAGTACCTACAGAGCTATAATGTTCTTTCTGTATTTATATTTTCCCCAGGCACTCCCACCTACCGGGCTGAGGGCCAATAGGAGCCTCCTGTCAGCCAATAGCAACGGTGGCGCACTTCCAAACATTCCAGGGGATGGACTTTGGAAAGGTAGGAGGGGCCGCATGAATAGAGTCATTCATAAAATTAGAAAGCCAGTGCATTCCGAGGCGATGTGCATTTAGTCTCGCGCGGGCCAAGATGTTCCGCTAGCAGAGAAGCACTTTTTATGCAGACTGTTGAGAATAAGGTTCTTACTCCCATGGGGCACATAGCTGCATAGGCAATCTTGTGTGAGGAGTAGCCACAAACATTCCTGACGTGCAAAAAAACAAATTAGGCAGAAGGAAAACACCATGGAAGAAGGAAAAATAAATGGGAGGAGGCCAACACAGCCTTTAGCAGAGCAAAACTCCAATCTGACTTTAAGGTAGATTCAAAAGCTCTGGAAACCGGGAGCATCCAATACTTGAGATTACTATAGAGAGTCTGAATGCCTGTGATATTCTGTGCAGTTTTCAGGAGAATGCACAAGTGTCAGGTCAGGCTGAATTTATACCAATGAATCTAGCTTAATCTTAAATGCACATAGACAGCACCAGAAAGAATGAGGGCTACTACCACTAAACCAAAGTTACGAAGAGGAGAGGGCCGGCATCTATTCTGCTCTCAACTCCTTGGAGAGAGAAATGCTATCCCTAGGATTACCTGCATGCTGCGGTTCAATTTATCAACTTTCATTTTTTAATGAAGCTACATGACAATCTTTGTGGCCCTGTTTCAAATGCACATCATATGCTGAGGGATGAAGGGCCTTTCAATAGTTTCTCTCTCCCTCTTCCCACCTTTGGTATTATGAAATACGGTCTGTTGATCTTTGCTGTTTTAACCACAAGCAGGATTGCATTGTTCCTCATTGTATTGGTGCGTGTGTGTATATATAAAACTCTTTTATTGCCTAAAATGTTTGATTGTAAGATGACTAATAAATCTCTAAACTAAGGAAATAAAATCATAAACTAATTTAAAAACAACCTTTGTCACATCTATATAAAGAAGAATGGTTTCACTACAACAATTTCTCAGAAGAAAATAAAAGAAGACAGGACACTCCATTATCTGCAAATGTTTACAAAAACTATATAAAAAAAGCAAACTTAGATTTATGGGCTATACCGAGTAGTTGCCTGGGTGAACAATTGGCACAGTCATGGAAGTTATTCCTAGCTTTGATCATCTCAAAATACATTTTTCCCCATGCACCCACCCATGTTGACCTATTTTTCCATATACCCAGAAACGGGTATCCATTAATATCTTTGTAAAGGGCAGACTAGAATTAGAATGACAAAAGTGCCTGCCCTCAGGACCTCAACAGAGCCCAGCAGAGGCCTGGGTGTAGTGGATCTTAATTTTGTTCTTTTGTGAGCTAGGTTTTGTCTTTTCTCAACCAAAGACTCATGGAGCTTCCAATAATCATGGCAGCACAAAGACTGTGCCGACACTTAGCTTCTATGTTAACCAAATCTTAGATGAAGGGTGCCTATGATAGCATTCTTCAAATAGCTGAAAGAGTGTCACAAAGAAGGTCAAGACCTCTGATCCATCATTGCAGAATGTAAGACAAGGAATAACGGCTTTAAGTTAAATTACAGGAAGAGAGAATCCAACTGGATGTTAGAAAAAGCTTCCTAACTTAAGAGCAGTTTAACAGGGGAGCAGTGGTGGGATTCAGCCAGCTCGCATCACTTCGGCAGAACCGGTGGCTAATTTTTTTGGTGTCCAGGCCCAGAATGGACTTCCAGAAGCAGCATCCACACAGAGAACCAGTTGTTCACATATTTGAATCCCACCACTGCAGGGGAGGCAATTAACCACAGAAGTAATAGAAATCTTCTCTCCCCCCCCCCGCACAAGTAGAAGCTGTACAGCCATTGGGTTGCTTTAATTTAGACCCTTGTTTTGAGCAAGGAACTTTCTTGATGGCCCCTTCCAACTGATGGCCCTTTCCAATTCTATGATTCTGTGAAGTGAGTCCAATCCACCACTTTTTACTGGGACAGGTTTAAATATGGATATATAATTACTTAACACTTGAGGACTCAATGCTTAATGATGCATAAGGGAATGTGTTAGTTTACTTAAACTAAGGAGCATATTTTTGTTACCTTGCAACCAGTGTTTGCTGACTTATGAGTATTATGTTCATCTCTTATAATCTTCCTTCTTATAATCTATGCTCAGCTCAGCAGCTGTTGCCTAATATTCTGAAACATGCCAAATCAACATCTCACAACACTTGCAAGTTGCTTGCACAACACTTGCAAGCAAAATAACATGATGTTAGAATCGTTCAGCTTGGCTCTTACTGCTTATACCAGGGGTAGGCAACCTTGGCTCTTTTATGACTCGTGGCTGGCTCAGGAATTCTGGGAGTTGAAGTCCACGAGTCATAAAAGAGCCAAGGTTGCCTACTCCTGGCTTATACCTTTCAGAGACAAACAAGAGGCTATGATAACTTGCATCTGAGAAGATAAGAAGCTATCAGAAATCCAGCACCGACTAGTTGGACAGCTCCTCCCAGCTGCCATGCCTGGGTACTGAGGATTAATGGAAGTGGATAGACTCTGGCTTGTACCATATCTATGACAACAAAATGGTTTCTAAATTCTGAAGAGATTCTGATTCATAATATGTCTCCTTTTGGGGGGGGGGGGATAAGCAAGCCGCAAAAGATATTTCAAGCTAAAATAAATGTATGCCTTCGTTTTTTTATCTACAATTCTATGGATTGTATATTTTTCCTGACCTTCTGTTTTTAGATAGTTCTGCCTGGCTACTCTGATTCCATGGAATTAGCCCACATCCACTCAAGGCAATTCTCTGGGGCATGTGCGCGGGCATAGCCAGAGATTCAGGGAGGCCTTCCTGAGCTTTCACAAGTGCTGCTTTATGGCCTCCAATTTATCCTATTAGATACTCTTCCTTTCCCGAAAGCTTTCATTTCACCCCAGGATACTCTGGTTTGCTTCTGCTTTTCTCAGACCTCCCAGCCTTTGGAATACGGCTTTGAAGACTGGATCTTCTTTTATCAAACGTGCCTTCTTCTCACATTCCTAGGATAAAGGAGGTCTATTTTTTAGACTTTTTAATTTTATAATATGTCTCCACCCCAAGAGATAAAGAGTCTTCTGCTAATAAAATTGTAATTCTATTACACTATCTTAGCTCTCAAATTAGCCTATACCAGGGGTCTTCAAACTTGACCCTTTTATGACTTGTGGACTTCAACTCCCAGAATTCCTCAGCCAGCATGTCTGGCTGAGGAATTCTGGGAGTTGAAATCCACAAGTCATAAAAGGGCCAAGTTTGAAGACCCCTGGCCTACACCCTACGTTTAATGAGAGTTTACTCTTGAGGTAGTGAAATAAGATTGAAGTATCTGAATGGAAATTGTTTTCCACCTGAGCTCAACTTACATCTTTTAGTTTAAATATATAAATATATATAAATATATACATAAATATATAAATATATATAAATATACAACTTAGATCTTCTAGTTTAAATATATAGAATATTTTTGAGGGCGAAAAAGGAGATGTCCATGTCTAAAAATCTATATTTGTTAAAACTCATCAGAGAGACCTAGAGTTCATTTCTGAGAGTGTTTGACTTGTATGGGAAACTGGCCAAAAGGTGGGGACAGATGCGAAGAACTTCTTGCTTGACTTCTCAGATTTGTCTTAAGCTTTCCAGTTTAAAAAGCATCTCCCAAATCCAGCAGTGGTGGAAAGAAAAATTAAACAGTAATACCTAATGGATATTTCTGAAGGACTTCTGTAAATATGTTTCAGAAAAAAATAAATAAAATTTCCTGTTGCATCATGAACGTGAAGACTCCTGGGCAGATTATCCTGCAAGGCTTTCATAATTCATTCCCATATAGTATCTCCATTTGCTTTTCCATCTGCACTGGAGATTATACATACGTAAATACATACATATGTATATACATACATACATACATACATGTCTGTGTGTATGTATATGTGTGTATGTGTATATATATAAATAATGTTTCATTAGATCAGACATGTCAAACACAAGGCCCGGGGGCCGGATGCGGCCCACGAAGTGGTTTCACGTGGCCCGCGAAGCCATCCTGGAAACAGTGAGGGAACGGCCCCTGCTGCCTTGGCCCTGGCCCAGGCCGGCCGGGAGCCAATGTACAATTTTGTGGTGGCCATCTATGCTGAAATGCATTCAGTCTTAGCTCCACAAGGCCATCTGGAAACAGCGAGGAACCAGCCCCTGCCGCGTCGGCCCCACCCCCTGGGTGCATGCTGGGGAGGTGTCATCCTTTATGAGGAATGAAGAAATGCGCCATCGCCTGGAAGTGGCCAGCAAATGGCCCTCACCTACTTCACATATCCGGCTTGATGGGCTCTGCCCTGGTCCCACCCCTTTCTGCCAGAGACCCTCAGATCTGTCCCACTCCTTCCCAGGCCCCCACAGGCACCCTTGATGCAAATGATGTAGAGCTGGCCACGCCCACCCAGTAGGCCACACCCACTCCACTCCCACCCAGTAGGCTGCCCCCCCCCAAGGGCAACCGCAATGCTGATGCAGCCCTCAATGAAATTGAGTTGATACCCCTGCACTAGATGGTCAAATATTGCTCTGGGAGAAAGAGAAATGTCTACCCCCTACGTGCACTTGGTTAAAATGACCTCCAATATTTTTATTGAAAAAGAATTACATTTATAAAACATAACATGCAGTATCTTTGGAATGTAGAGAGAATAATCATTTAAGGAACAGGTGAGAAGGCATGTTATAACCAGATGATGAATTATTCAGCTGATATATCATGAGTGATGCCAGAGATAGCCAATGGAAGCTCAATAACCTTTGGAAAACCAGATGTCGGGCAAGTTTCAAATAATCTTCCAAAACTAAAAGTAATCTGGTTTTCCAAAGGTTATTGAGCTTTCAAAGTCTTCATCATTGAAGTAATGAATTCTGTTTTCTAAATTGCAAACTGTAGTGGCTTAAGCATTGGGAAAGGCATTAGAAGATAGCTTGAGCTTTGATGTCTGGCGCTCCACGCACAGACTGGAATGATGAAGGCTTTGGGTTTTCCTGTATTGGCCCTTGGTAAACAGCAAGTAAACTTTGAAGTAATGATCTGTAGACCTTTATCAAAACCAGAAGTAAGAATCTTTACAAGGGGAAGTCTTCTCCATTGTTGATGCCCTACCAGGGAATGCCATTCCCGTTGCTACTGGCCAAACAAAAGTATTTTTTTAAAATTAGTCCAGGCATTTTGATTCATTTTTACAGCTCTGAATATTTTGAATTCTCTGTATTTAATTACTTTTTAATTACTTTTATTGATTCTTGAATGCTAATTATTATTTCATGACTATAATAGATACTCTTCTATGACTGACTTTTAATATACTAGGAAATATTCACACTGCACTTAGCTCAGATTTGCTGTTACACTTTTGATTAATATTTATCTTTAAGAAGGTAAACATCTGTAGCTTATTCAAACACAGCAATACTTAAAAATACCAAAGTTGCAAACTATTCCATTTTTATTTAACATAGACTTACACTTTCAATATGACTGACTGTAATTCTAATGGAGATTACCCACATAGTGCAAGTGATCTTTAAAACTTTGGGGTAAAGTTTCTGAATAGGTCAAGGGAAAACATGAAGGAAAGAAAATAAATAATATGTAATTCAGGCATGTAAGAAAACTAAAGGAAAAGGCAAGTACTATTTTTTTCAACATATATGCAACCCTTAATCCTAGGGCAGGGGTGAACCTCTTGAACCTCTTCAACTATAGGTGGGAATTTGTTCTTTTTTCTTGATGCTGAAAGCTGCAACCACAAATTTTCTTAAGTCTCAGGTGAGCAATGCATTCATATAATAATGGGAGCCTCCAAATAAGTCTTCACATCAATTTTTTAAACGAAAAATACCCAAATTCCTTCCCCACCCAAGAAAAAAAAGGTATCACATTCAAGTTATGATCTGCCTTTTCCTACTTTTTCATTGCCATCCCAGACACATTGGGCCTCCAGAGACCATTCCATACATCAGATGTTATCTGCAGTTTTCCTTCTTATACAGCACAATCTTTCCCTTGGAACTGGGTACCCACCACTCAGTTATGATGAAATATTCAATCCCCTAGCATAGAACTTCCTGGATATGCCCAGAACATTATACTACAACTATATCTTGTGAT